TAGCGTTCCGGTGCGGTGTGGGTTTACGTCGATGATGCGCAAATAACGGCCGCGTCTCTTATTGGTTTAATGTATTAAAAGGACGTAAATATCCCCGGGGTTGTTTTTTGAGTTGCGATCGTTGGTTAGGAACATTGGGTGGTACTAATTGGCCAGGTTCTAGGGCTGCGGTCCTGCCGCCTCCTTCTGCGAATCTGTGATGGCGCAGAAGGAGGCAGCGGAGAGGGAGCGGGAGGAGGACGCTCTAGCCCCCCCTCTCCGGCGTAGACGGGTGGGCCGAAGGAGGCAGGCAGCGGTGACTGCCGGTCTTCGACGGCCCTAAGGTGGCCTGGGCGCGGCCTGACCAGCCGCGCGTCCTAGGTGCCGCTCCGGCATAGGCCACCACGTCTGGGGACTGCCTAGTACCCTAGCGCAGTCCCCCTGAGGCGCGTCGCCCGGTCCACTCGTTGGACCGGGCCTGCCCGGGGGCGTGCTCGGAGATGTCACTTCTCCGAGCACGCAGGTGCGTCGGCCCCGAGACCGCCCCCATATGGGCGCAAGAGGGTAGTGGAGTAGGATCAGTGTGGCCTTCCGCACTGGTCCTGCTTGAGTAGGGTCAGCACTGTTTCCCGTGCCGGCGAGTCCCACACACGCCGTGCGCCTAGTCAGCGTCACGGTATGGTGCGTAACTGCACTTCCCCTCGTCACAAAAAAATAGGGCTGCGGTCCTGCCGCGATCCCTCGGGAGTGCGGCGCGTGACGAGCACGTGCTAAGCATGTCCAGGCCTGACCCGCAGCCTGCTGTGCTATACAATAAAAGCTACAAGCTCGACACGAGTTATTGCCACTATGTTTCCGCGTATTGCCTTTCTAGATGCGGGTGCGCCTTGTCGCGCGCGCCGCTAAAACAACCACTTTAATGACAACTTACAATTACTTGGCGTTGTATTGATTTCTCAAGTGTGACGTACTGTGGTTTCTAGGCTTTGTATTGTGTACATAGGGTTACCAGATGATAAAATCAAAAATCCGGAGAAAAGGATTGATTTCCATTGAAAAATCCTGAGATTTTTTACAGTTTGAGAATTTTCTCTCAAACGTGCTTAACAATTTAAAAAAAGTCGTAATATTATCGTTTATACTCGGCTTATTCTTTTCAATCAATATAATTTGAAGAGCTTAACGTGTGGCGCATTATATGAATCTATAATTAAAGAAAAACCCTTACTTAAAAATGTATCATCACATATTTAGTATGATAAAACTGAATAAGTACCTACTTGGATAATAAGGTACTGATTTTAATTGTGCAATTATTACCAATAGAAGATTATTTTTAGTTTTGTTAACTTTTCAAAAGAGATATTTAAAATGCAAGGTGTATTTTATTGGAAATTCAAAAAATCCTGAGATTCCATGAGATAAGCAAAATCTAGCCGCAATCCTGAGAAGAGTCCAAAAATCCTGAGATATGGTAACCCTATGTGTACGTAGCCTATATGCTATAATAGCAGAGAACATTTCCGGGTACCGCGAACTACGACTGTTTAACCGTTAATATAGAGATGTTTTGAAACTCCTCGACCGATTCGGTTTATCTGATGCCGGTCGCGGGGCGCGTCGCGTCGCCGCCCCGCGCGCGAGCGTAAACACAGTAGTGAGTGAATGCGACATAATGGGATCTAAATGCACTCGTAATTGGCTCTTATCTGTTCCGGACGAGCTTTCCAAATTTGTCGAGCCATCAGCAGTCAGCGCGGGTGGCGTCGCGGCCGCCCGTAATGAATGCAAGCAGGTCAGGGCGCTCGCGGGCCGCACCGCAGGACGGAGGGTCGGAGGGGACGGGGGAGGGCGGGAGGGGGGGGGGGGGCTGCGCGCGCGCCGATAACGCGGCACCTACTTCCGAGACGTTCCGAGCCATTAGCCTCGACGCTGACTCCGCTCCACTTAACAATATGTACGCCGCGACGAGGTGTTCTGAAATAACGTCGCCGCTGAACTAGATCCATGCGCAGCGAAGTCGTTGAACTGCGGGCGCGGTGCGGCTGCCTGCTGCGTTCCAGGTTGCTAATTCAACCAGGTATAAAGGTCCATAAATTACGTGAGATGTTTAAGGGGAGGAGGGGGTCGAGTCAAATCTCATCTAAGCTTACGTTGGAGAGAGGGGGGGTCTCGGCAAATATCACGCAATTTTTTTTCACAGTAGTATCTATTAAGTATTCTATTGTTAAATTTTTATTACACTTATAACTCTCAGCAATATTGATGACTAGTCTCAACTAGTCGTAAATAAAAGCAGGAAGCATTTTTTTTCTTTTTACAATAATAATCCAACGCGATTACGAAAGAAACCCACATTTTGAAAAATCTCACGTGAGATTGGGTGATGGGGGAGGGGGTTGAAAAAAATCTCACGACGTCTCACCAGGGGGGGGGGGGGGGGGAGGGACAGAAAATTCAAAAAACACCTAACGTAATTTATGGACGGTCCCTATCCGATAAAGCGGTGGAGACGATGCAATTGAAAATCGTTCACAACCCGAACGGCACGTAGAAGAATAGAAGAAAATTCTTGTTACTTAATTAGCGGTGTCGCAAGCCGCGACCGCCTCTCTCGGCGGCACGTACTGCGCGCACATGCCGCAGTTATTTCATAAGTCCGTTTCACGATATTGTGAAAATATACACATTTTGTACATGCCAAAACGTACTCAACCTTAATGAAATTTCACAACAATATTACGTACTTAATGCAGCTACTGAGATAACTACATTTTTTATCTGAGTTATAGGTATCCCATAATTTTGTCGGTAAATTAAATTACCCTTAACCAGTGTTGCCAGGTCTCCAGATTTTACAGGAGATCTCCTGTTTTTCTGAAATTTCTCCTGTTCTACTGTTTTTCTACATGAATCTCCTGTTTTTTTTAGATTTCTATTTTCTTTTTTAAATTTCATGTTGAGTTGCATTTTCCGTCATTAATAATGTAGCTAAATCGGACAACTACGCCACGTCATGCATCTACTGTTTTTCTTGTAGCTCTTTGCATACATCTACTGTTTTTTTCTATAACGCCTCCCGATTTTTGAAAATCGGACCTGGCAACACTGCCCTTAACTGACATAAAGTTTCATACATAGCTTTCATTGATAGATAGCCTATTTCTTTTGGATTTGGAGACTCGAGAAGACATAATGGTATGCAACTTAAATATCGACGATATATTTCTGGTAAACTTAATTATGATATTCACTGCTTATTGTAGGAAAATAATATATATTTCAAGTTAGATAGACTTTACACAAAAGTTTAGTCAAACCTCTGTCTCGTAGCATTCTTCTGATTTCGACTGCTGACTTCGGAGGTTTGTAGTCGTACGCACATTGTCATTCTTTCTTTTGTACTGCAGTATTTAAGAACTGCGACTATTGCTGACGCATAATGACTAATGGTTATACAAATTGACGCTGGTTTAAATAGACCAAAGAAGATTCTACACTAAATGCGTTACATACAACCTCAGGATATATCATCCCACTATCAACGAAATTTCCCTTGCATGTACCTACACCATACGGTGAAACTTCCAGCGTTCACAGATTTCTATATTTTTAAAATATTACTGGATATATACTTACATCTCCTTGGATGTTCGTACATTCTGACAGAGTTTGTTGATAAGTTAATCTCCTTCCTATAATCTGGGGTCCTTTAAGAGAGGCGTGAAGAAGCATTTTTGCAGACCGGCAAGGTGAGGATGATTGGTGTAGCAGTTTATAACTGCTGTACCAGCTATCTTCGCGTTTGGACTTTATTACCACTTAACATCAGGTGGGGTAGAGTCATTTGCCTACCTTAATATAATAAAAAAAAGTGTGTGTTTGCGTACGTATCTTTGGACTATCGTATGGAATCTGTTTGTTTAGATTGTGTGTTGATAAATGCGCTTTTATTGGTTCAGGGGTAATGGCGGCGGCGCGGCGTACACGCGCTGTGCGTACTCCGGCTCCTCGCCGTACTTCGCATCCCCCGCCGACATCTCCGTGCAGCAGCAGATATGGAGCCCTCCCGCCGGTAATTTTTTTTTTTTTGCGTGTGTATGCTGTTGGTCGCAGATGATCTTTACAGCGTCACCGGGTTTGGGGACGGCGAGATCCTAAGGGGACCTCAAGCCGAGAATTGGCGATTGCCTCTAGAGGTATTCCAGTTGGATGGCGTCTCCCAACGGCGGGGAGTCTCCACTCCGTCTGGAGCCTCCAGACCACTCGAACCTGAGGGGGTCGGCTCAACTAGAGGGCGTCTCTGAGACTCGGACCTCGGCTCTAGTTAGCCGTTGTCGTGGGGCCCGCCGGTAAGCAACGTACCAATGACCAAGACTATCCCTCTGTTAAGAATAAACAAGCTTCGAGTATCCGTCCCATAGCCCGTCCGCGGGGAAGGTGTATGCTACAGCAGTGAGGACATTGGTAGCTTGTTGCTTTTTAGTTTGTTTTAGTAATGTAATGGATTTGTTTTGAGTTTGGAGATAATGAAGAAGTAGCAGCAGTTTAAACAAATATTTAAGATATCTGCTCTCTAAGAGGAGCTCGTTGACTTTGTTGGTAGCGAGTTTGATCTCCGATTATAAAAGTTAACTTTTAGCGGTCCAACCGGTCATAGGTTTAGAGACCGGAAACCTGGTTGTACCTCCGTGCTTCAATAGACACGTTAAGCAGTTGGTCTCGGCTGTTCTTTAGTCATTAGCACCCACCAACTAAGCACTGGGTTTACATTTTTGACACCGGAAGCCCTGCTGTGCCTTAGCAGTAGAAAAGTTACTGTGGTCGTAACGTAAGAGAATGGCATTATGTAAACGATGATGATATCCACAATGTGTGACTCGAGTGATCCAACATCTGTAATCTCTAGTTTCCGTGCTTTGGAAGGCACGTTAAGCCGTTGGTCCTCGCTGTGTCTGTAGTTGTTAGCAGTCCCCGGTCAGGAAGGTGTGTGTCCAAGCAGTACGAGGGTTATAGTAACGATGTTGTTGTGTACAGCTGGATCGCCGACGTACGGTTCGAGCGGCAGCGGCGGCGGCGTGGTGCTGAGCGAGGAGTACGCGCCGGAGGGCGGGGGCGGGGGAGGCGGGGGGTCGGGTGAGGGCGGCGGGGGGTCGCTGCCCGCGTTCAGCTCGCGGTTCGGCAGCGCCTTCGCCACCTCGCGCCCCTCCACCGTCTACGGAACCCAGGCCATCGCCACCAACGCATACGCACACCAGGTCAGCATACCTTCTTAGCTTCCGATCGCGTTACAGTTAGCTTTTGAGAACTCCAAAGAAACCTGTTTAACAGAATACATAGTATCCGGTGTCTTAAACGATGTAACTGTATGACTGTATATTTGTTTCTTAGGTTTTCACGCGCATCACTCATTAAATAAAACTAGTTTTTACGGGTTAATGCACGAAACTTTATTTATTTATTGACGTTTCGCAGCCTTTTCAGGTCTGCATCGTCACAATAATGTTTTTTTATTAGATTTCAAATAAAAAATCATTATTCTGACGATGCAGACCTGAAAAGGCTGCGAAACGTCAATAAATAAATAAAGTTTCGTGCATTAACCCGTAAAAACTAGTTTTATTGTATGACTGTATGTTGTAAATTTCCTTTAAATTTCGGTCAATCGTTTCTCCACATTTATAATCCTAGTTGGACTGGTAGGATCGTTTGGATGAAACACGAGCGAAACGTTTTATAAATACAAGAAAGATTGCATCCGAATTGTTGCAGATAGCTTCGATCTGGTATTATAATAATCATAATAATAAACATTTATTCCAAACTTTAAATCCATATAGAAGCGTTAGTAACAGACGTAATCTTAATCTAGTGTTAGTAAATGAAAAACTTACAAATCGAATAACAAATAACAATATAGCATAGGTACATTTAGATTCCGATGTCACTCGTCTGTTATCTATACTTATAATAAATCTGTAGAGAGGTCAATTCTGTATATGAAATATATTTTCAAAATAACTATCAGGGGATGATTAGTGATCGATACCGATGCCAAAAATGCAATCAGTAAAATTTTTGTCTGTCTGTGTGTATGTTCCTTATAGAAACAAAAACTACTCGACAGATTTTAACGAAACTTGGTACAATTATTCTTCATACTCCTGGGCAGGTTATAGTATACTTTTCATCACGCTACAATCAATAGGAGCAGAGTAGTGAAGGGAAATATTGCAAAAACGGGAGAAGTTACTCCATTTTTTAAGCTTCCGTCGCGTGTGCAGCTTTAATGGTTAAAGTTACATAGAAATCATGTATGACGGAAATATTCTACATAAAATTGTTTAAAAATATCCTGCAACAGCATATGTTTATCTTTTATGGTTGACTCACAATAACACGTGTAATTATATAAATAAAGTTATTGTTTATAACACAAGCCTGAGAACAAAAACTATAGTTTACACTACAGCTCTACACCGAAGCGAAGCGAGGGCGGGCCACTAGTTTATATATAATTGTAATGATAAACGGGCGCATGTAACTTCAGCCTACGTCCCAATAGTGAGGAGTCCCATCGGTCAGCCAGTGAGACTATTATATAGTAAATAGCCTCATTAAGTAATAAGTTTATGATGTTGAAAAAATACATAGTCTACTAAATTCGGCCAATAGAACCAAAGACACTAGAAGAATAAGCCAAGGTTCAAAGGAGTTTGCTCAGTTCAGGAAACATTCCATGGTTTTCTAAACTTAGCCAATTAAATTGAACTTTGTAATAAGTAAGCGTGCATGCATGCAACTTGTGTATGTTTCTCGCGTCTTCAATATTTACCAATTGCTATATAAATGAGGTTAGTTATTAGTAAATAAATAATAAATATTTCCAACACACACCAATTAGCCTAGCCCCAAAGTAAGCACTGTAAGGCTTGTGTTATGGGATACTAGGGTAACGGATAGAGTACATATACTGTACTTAAATAAGTATATTAATATAGAAATACATATTATACGTCCATGACTGGAGTACAAATGCTCGTATTCATCACACAAACATCTGCCTCCACCGGGATTCGAACCCGGGACCTTTCGAGTCGGCGACACCTTGAAACCCGGAGTACAAACCAATCGGCCAAGGAGGTCGTCACGTTGTTGCCACATACTAAGTAATTAAGTTCGTCATAATATTTCTAAGAAGTTTTTAATTTTTTTTTATCCTGCGTATATATGAAAGAAGAATCGACCTAATAAATTTAACTATGATAAAGTTCCTGAGGATTAGAAAACGGTTTTATGATGATGACCAATGAGTAGTTAAAAGATACAGAGATTACAAAAAGATAGACCACTAAATCATTCTTACGGTCTAGTACCCATTGGACCCTCAAGATTCGACCCAAAAGCAAAAAGTGCCCATTGGACCTCTTTTTTGGTGTCCATTGGACCTTCTTAAAACATTTTATATTCAATGTGCCCATTGGACCTATTTTTTGGTGCCCATTGGACCTCCTTAAAAAAATTATATACAATGTGCCCATTGGACCTCTTTTTAAGTGCCCATTGGACCTTCAAGATTATACCCTACGGCCAGTTGGACCTTATTGACAGTTTTGTTAAGCACAGTACAGTCATGTAGAAAATTGCAGACAAAAATTAAATTAATAGTAGGTATTATAAAGCCACTAACTAAATACTGTATAAGTACTTACTCCAAACAGTAATACCTAATTACCTCAATGCTTTCGGCCGCGTCATCTTAGTATTTTAAATGTATCCAAACCTAAGAAGGCAGCATGAAATAAAAGTTTGATTTAAGCAATAGACCTCATATCAAAGTACTTTTTTTTGTCTGGACAATACATGACTGTAACCGTTACACACCGGGAAACTTGCATGCACAGACTCCGTGGGCTCCTTGCCATTTCATCCAGCCCCACAAGGCTTGATGAAATAGCAAGGCCATACCCGGTAAAAACCAGACAATACTCCAGCACCTAAGGGGGCGTCCATAAATTACGTGAGATGTTTAAGGGGGGGAGGGGGTCGAGTCAAATCTCATCTAATCTTACGTTGGAGAGAGGAGGGGTCGAGTCAAATATCAAGCAATTTTTTTTCTGATTGAAACAAAAAAAAATATACTATTTTGGTCCATTTAATCCAGATTGTACATGCTTAAAATTTAATCTTAAGCGTAATCGTAATACGATTAAGATCATTCACTGTTTCGTTCGAAAGAAATAACTCTCAGCAATATTGAAAAGCACGTAGCATTTTTGAAGTTATACTTCTTTAGGCGCGTTATGGAAAAATTATGAGAGTGAAATTTTAAGATGCGCGCGCATCACTGTAACACAAAATTTTAACAGCATGAAGTTGGTCGCTTTAGCGACCAACTTCATGCGTTACTTTTGTGTTTACCGCACATTAAGAAAATCTACCAACAAAATAGAAGTAGAATCTCTATTTAGTGGGTGCTAACGACTGCATTGTGAAGGCCTATCAAAAGTATTTATCAATCTGGAACAACGGAACCAAAGCGCGATTCAGGAGACTACAGCGCCATCTCTTGACCATTGGTGTAGTAGAACCAAAAACCACATCTTTATTTTTTGTAATAAAGTAACAGTTATAGGTATTCATATTTATAATATTTATCCACATGTTTCTAGTTTGTATATTCGGAATACGTGTTTGAGTTTCATACAAGTGCAAATCACATATGTTCTAATAAATTATATTCAGTAGCGATTTTAATTGAATATTTTGATTATTTATTTATTTTTTCAAATTAAAACTGAACTTTATTGACTGTGTCCTTTTCCAGACTTTTTATTAATTTATTGTAATTAATTATTTACATGCAATTAAAAACTAATTTTAAACGATGCCAAAGAAGGATAACTTCTCACGCGCCTACATAAGTACACGCACCCATTTTTTTTTCTTTTAACAATAACAATAAATCGCATTTAAGTAAGAAACCCACATTTTGAAAAATCTCACGTAAGATTGGGGGATGGGGGAAGGGGTTGAAAAAAATCTCACGACGTCTCACCAGGGGGGGAGGGAGGGACAGAAAATTCAAAAAAAAACACTAATTTATGAACGCCCCCTAACCGAAACTTGTCCAATCATTAAATCTCAGAGTAAGTTCTTGAACTTTCCCTAATTTTGTGTACCTAAAAGTCGTGCTTAAAATCTGACGTGTCCTTCTTGGGTTTTCAGGAGGTATGGAGTTTAGACAGCAGTCGAAGGCCACAGGTGTCCGCGGCAGCCCACCTCTCAGCCAGTAAGTACTTACAATAGTCATAACATCAATAATTTACTATGTTATGTTTAACTGCAAATAGGGTAATGATGTTGCGTAGACATTTCGAAGTATTTGGCAATAGGGATGATGACTAATTTTTTTTTTCTTCATTTATCAGGTAGATTATCAAAAAGTATTGGACACGTATTTTTTCTTTTTTCGCATAATATAAACATTGCAGAGATAATATTGATTTGAAAAGTCGCATGACGTCACGTTTGAGTACACTTATAAGTGAAAATTCACTCAAAAGTGACGTCACGAGCCCCTTTGACTTTGACCCGCTATAACTTTGTCATTTTTTGGGTGATTGCCCAAAGAAAAAATACGTGTCCATTATTTTTTGATCATCTAACTGACGGACTAAATAGAATTTCGTTTACTGTACCCCGTCATCACCCCTATTAACATAACATAGCATCTATTCTTTTTATTATGTTATAGGGGGCATACGAGCAGACGGCTCACCTGATGGTAAGTGATCACCGTCGCCCATGGACACTTGCAACACCAGGAGTATCACAAATGCGATGCCGGCCTTTAGGGAAGGAGTACGCTCTTTTTTTGAAAGTTTTTGGGTCGTATTGGTCCGGAAACACTGCTGGCGACAATATATTCCACAGTTTTGTCGTACGTGGTAAAAAATTTCGCCACGCATCAAGATGTTCTAAATGCATTGAGCTCAAATAGTTGTGTGTTCATAGAAACAGTTTCTTTTATAAAGGAATCATACTGATGTAATTAATAATACTCCTTATTTACCCAAATATAAAGTTAGGAAGGTTTACATTGCGACTGCCATAAACGCAGTTTGTTCGTAAACAAATCAGTCTTTGTTAGCGGTGTGATTCGCTGCGGCGACGAAGTCCACTTTCCAAGTGAATCATGCGCATGTATTTCTGTAGTTCTATTGATTCAACGCCCGATCGATCGACACTAATGTATCGTGTATTTTTCCTAGAACTATTAATGACATGTCCAATCGATCGATCTTCGCTGCAAAGATAGAGAAAGATTTTGGGATTTGATAATGGAATATTTTTAGTTCGATTTGACTGGTGCTTCCTTGGACCGTTGCGACCGTTGGCTGAGACCTTGATGGGAAGGTACAGTGCTGGGTAGCGTATGATGTGAGGCTGGGAGCCAGCCGTAGGCCGCGTGCGTCACTGTCGCGGGTGTGAGGCGGGGGGGGGGGGGGGGGGGGGGGTGTCACGAGCGATAACCCCGCGCTCACTGTCAAAACTAATATAATAACAGATATGTTTTTATTGCGATAAGCTATTTTCGAAAAAAACATCGATAATAGAGTCCGGGTAACATTGTTTACGGTTCACGCCCGCCTCACCCCGCCCGGCTTCGTTCGTTCACGGACAATGAAAAAGTATATTTTTTTTGTCACCGTCTTTTTTACGCCTCTCGCATCCACTCGAACCTTCGTCTATCTTCGAAGCGGCGAGCGTTACTAAAATTTTTATTTCGCTTTTAAAACCCATTAAATAATTAATTGCTTTTCTTTGAACCACTGTTGATGATTTCTGATTCTCTAAAACGTAAATTATTTCAAGTGGCATGAAATGGTGACGCGTAACGTTCCCCCTTGTGAAAGTTTTATTTACAAAAATTGATATAAATTTGAATGGTGCTCTCGAAAAAAGTTTAAGAGCCCTTTCACATTTTTTGCAAAAAATCGTAATTTTTGAGCGCCTTATTTACTCCCTTAGAAAAGATTTTGACTATTTCCAAGAGAAGTAAACAGTAGATTTATTCTTCCTATTGTAAGTTAATGTAGAATATTTGCAAATATTATTTTGATTTTTTTGTACTGATCGTTCTACTGCAGCTAGTTTACAGAAAAATCGATAATATGCACAACTTCAAACGCCTGAATCTCTCAATAATGTTCAATAAATTAGATCAAATTAATTACTACGAGATCAGAAATATGTTTTTGTTGTAACATAATGTATTAGAATTTTGATTTACTACCTCATTAATTATCAAAAAAAACATCTAACCTTCGTGAGTTTTCCCAAAAAATAATGCAGGTTTACCTCGTATTTTGGTATTGAATTAAATAGAATTCCTATCAAAAATTTTCATATAACTAATCTGCCATCATCGAACTATTTAAATATCTATATATTTTTATAATTAGTTCATTAATAATTATTTTATAAGACTCTAAACATCACCCGTAAAATGCAATATATACTAGTGCAAATCTGCCTAGGCGCCTGCAATTTTGTAAAAGGGCTCTCAAGTGCGTCGCAACGCTGTTTTTTATATTCGATGCGATAATTATGTAGAGGCGTCAGAGCTATGGTTGATGAATAAATAGAAAGAGGACTCGGGCCATAAGCGTAGATGTTGTCACAGTGTCCAAACAAGCGGACACGGCGGTATTTGCGCAGGTCCCGACAAAAAGTCGCCTCTTTTAGAGCGCATCGCGTCTGGCCGCCGCTTCGGGCCGCTCAGGCCGCGGTTCGCATTCCTTAAATGGTATCGGATAAGGCACGTGCCGCAAACAGCGACTTTGTCTCCGCCGATATTTGCTCGCGACGTCACTAATGTGGTCCCTTATCGCCCAGCGCCGCCCGACAGCGCGCTGCTTAGCGCCATTAGGGCATATCTTCCGGCTGACGTCACAACTAGTTTAAAACTTAATAGATCACTAATCTGAACCACCGTTTTAACAGTCTTTACATTTTCTAAAATGACTATTTTATTTGTTCGCAATCCTCCAGTTAATGCTTTCAGTATGGGTGTCATAGATAAGTGAGAAGATATTAATAGATTCATCGCAACAATAATTATTGTCGGTTATCGAGGCAGACGGTGCACATGGCCGCGGTTCCCGTTACAGCGTTTCAAAACCCAATCACAAATATAAATATATTTACATATGCTTTGATTCAAATTTTCATTAAAAGATAGTTCATTAAGAGAAAAAAAATGGGTGCCTGTAAAGTCGGTTTTACGGGCGAAGATTTTACGTGACAACGTCTTTTTCTCGGTAGAATATTTATTGATATGAATATAATTAAATTGCACAATAGGAACAAGGAATTGAATGAAAATAAGAATTGCACAAATTTTAACTATAGAAATATATTTTGTTTACTAAAACATTGTACATGTAAACTTAAACTCATCGTAACGTTACCGAGCGTTACACTTTTTCATAAGTGACTCCCAGCCGCAACCTAATTTAAGACGTTGTCACGTCAAAAAATGTTCCCTGTGTTTTGTTGGTTTAGTATTTGTTTGGAGTGTAGCACATTATCTCATACAATTTGAGCTGACGCGACCGAAAAATAAACCGCTACTGCCATTGTATTAAGATTGAAATGAAACGATGCCATTGAATTGTTTCGTATCTAAATCATTATATACATAGAAGTTTATTTTCTTTATTACAACACTCATAAATCAAAATTGTTCAACCTAACTCGTTTGTCAGATCACTATTCTTGTGACCACGTAGCCTAAAAAGAATCATAAACGTTTAGAATAATGTATTTTTTGACGTGACAACGTCTTAAATTAGGTTGCGGCTGGGAGTCACTTATGAAAAAGTGTAACGCTCGGTAACGTTACGATGAGTCTCTCGTGTTAAGTTTAAGTTTACATGTACAATGTTTTAGTAAACAAAATATATTTCTATAGTTAAAATTTGTGCAATTCTTATTTTCATTCAATTCCTTGTTCCTATTGTGCAATTTAATTATATTCATATCAATAAATATTCTACCGAGAAAAAGACGTTGTCACGTAAAATCTTCGCCCGTAAAACCGACTTTACAGGCAACCATTTTTTTTTTGTAAGTAAGGTGTTATGATTTTAGGGGTGCATAACATGTCGTGCCGATATGGGCATACAAATTCAGCAGGTTATTAAAATATCAAGTCAAAAATCTTCATATTCAATAATAAAACATGTTAAATTCAAATGATTTCAATTCAATAATAAAATGTCAAAATTAATCAAAAAAATTTGGGTGCGTGTACTTATGTAGGCGCGTGAGAAGTTATCCTTCTTTGGCATCGTTTAAAATTAGTTTTTAATTGCATGCAAATAATTAATTACAATAAATTAATAAAAAGTCTGGAAAAGGACACAGTCAATAAAGTTCAGTTTTAATTTGAAAAAATAAATAAATAATCAAAATATTCAATTAAAATCGCTACTGAATATAATTTATTAGAACATATGTGATTTGCACTTGTATGAAACTCAAACACGTATTCCGAATATACAAACTAGAAACATGTGGATAAATATTATAAATATGAATACCTATAACTGTTACTATATTACAAAAAATAAAGATGTGGTTTTTGGTTCTATTACACCAATGGTCAAGAGATGGCGCTGTAGTCTTCTGAATCGCGCTTTGGTTCCGTTGTTCCAGATTAATAAATACTTTTGATAGGCCTTCACAATGCAGTCGTTAGCACCCCCACGAAATAGAGATTCTATTTCTATTTTGTTGGTAGATTTTCTTAATGTGCGGTAAACACAAAAGTAAGTAACCAACTTCATGCTGTTAAAATTTTGTGTTACAGTGATGCGCGCGCATCTTAAAATTTCACTCTCATCATTTTTTCATAACGCGCCTAAAGAAGTATAACTTCAAAAATAGAAATAATAATAATAAAACATAATTAAAATTCAAAATTTGTCATTTAAAAATTCCGATATAACAATAACATAATAACATTATTAGATAAATAACATTTATCTAATAATGTTATTATGATGTACATTTGCTGAAAATTATTTAATTTAAATCATTTTCAGCATCACGTTCTTTATTTCTGACATGTACAGTGAATCACATAAAAAGGTTCAACTATCGAAGATGCATGCCCTTTAGGTTCGCATAAACAATCTGTGACATATATAGAACGTTACTTGCTCATTATTTTTTATTGCTTCGCAGTACGATGATGAGTCATGTGTTGAGTGCAGTCCGTACAGAAATCCCATATTTATAACTATGTATATATTCCAATTTGTGACAGTTAACAATTACTAGAAATCTGGTGTCGGTGTCGAGTTACCGTTCGTCGCCAGGCCAGGAGACAGTCGGCCCTTGTGTTATCATTCTAATTATTAAAAGCCATTAGCGATGGATCATGTGTAGTTCGAGAACGACAATTTTATTTGCGCCGCTAAAGCCAGATGATTATTTTTTAATTTATATCCCGCGTTAAGGGCCCCATATACGGAACGATTCGTCGTTGCGATCGATCTGAAGGAAATCGTCAACGATCGATCGTTCAGAAATGCCATTACATACACGAAACGATCGATCGTAACGATCTATCATTTACTTGTTTCAAACGGTAGGATAAAGACGTACTCAAATAATTCAATACTTGCCCTCTAGAATGGAAAACGAACTCATGATTGCATGAACGATATTCATGATTGCATGGGATTCGGTTGCGATTTGCGATATCGTCTTCGATTAAGTAAATCTTTAACGATCTTGACATACACTGTCGATCCATTGAGATGACGACCTCTGTGGCCGAGTGGTTTGTACGCCGGGTTTCATGGCTGTCGCCGACTCGAGAGGTCCCGGGTTCGAATCCCGGTGGGGGCAGATGTTTGTGTGATGAATACGAGCATTTGTACTCCAGTCATGAATGTTTAATATGTATTTATATAAATATACTTATATATGTACAGTATATGTATTCTATCCGTTACCCTAGCATCCCATAACACAAGCCTTACAGTGCTTACTTTGGGGCTAGGCTAATTGGTGTGAGTGTCGGAAATATTTATTTATTAATTTATTATTATTGTTTCGATCGGTCTGAAACGACGGATCGTACAGATCAATCGTACCGTATATGGGCCCCTTTAAACTGATAAGGAAGTCGTCGAGCTAGGCTCATGGAAGTGTGGTGTGCCGTGTGTATTGCGTGTACGCAGTATGTGGTTCACTAGGAAGCAGGCAGGCGCGGGCGCAGGTCACGGGAGCGGTAACGGTCGCGAATGCCATTGAAACTGTACGCGCGGTCGACGCACTGCCTGAACACAAGGGACTGAACTTGCACGCGCAACATCCTTATTAGTGATGTAACGAATGTCATTTTTTGAACATTCGCGAATGCGAATGCGAATATTTAGTTTTTTTTAATTGGCGCCAATTGCCTTTGGCATGGTGGCAGTCTCGTTCCAATTGCCGAGTTGATATGAACTCATCCGACTGAAGTGTCATTCCGCTCGCACCGGTCTTTCCGTGAACAAAACAAGTGAATTTTGAGGTTAGTGATTGTGAGTGGTAATAGTGATTTATTAACATGAGTAAATCGAATTCTAGTGAAACATGGATTTATTTCACACTTTGCGATGCTGAACGAGCAAACTGTGTAACAATGTATATTCAAGGAAAGGCAGAATTACAACTTCTTCAAATTGTTTTCTTCTAATATTCATATTCGCAAAACATTCGCAGAGATTTTGCGAATGCGAATGTGAATGCGAATATTCAAAAATATGCGAATATTCGCGAATGCGAAGATTCGTTACATCACTAATCCTTATTGTTGCAAAACACACGTTTGCTTGTCCGTCTCCGTGATGCGAGATGTTCATACGGTCCTGTAAGTTCCGGTGGCGACATATGGCGAGGGTGACGTCACGCCGCTGTAGGGCCAGTACGGCGCACGCGACCTTGCGCGGACGTGCCGCAGTATCGTTGTTTGCGCGCGCACGTCCGCAACTCAGCATTTTCGCCGTCAATGGATCGGTCAATGCCAAGGTCGCGACGGTCCGACGTTCCGCAGCGGGATCGATCGAGGGATTCGCCAAAACGAAAGACTTCCGCCTGACGGGAGAACGATCTCGGAGTTTTATTGTTTCGGTTTTTTTTTTTTATTTATATTTTGGAAGACCAACAGCTATTAATAAAAACTAGCAAACCAGTGAACCAAATGTTCACCAAAACCTGATTAAAAAAAAAATGTATTTAATTAATTGAGAACTTCGGAGATTTTGTGTGGTTTCGTTTAAATTCGTGATTTCTTGAAAACCGGAAGTGCTACGTTACTCAAATCCGGTTTGTACTCTTATCAGACTATTTTTAACTTATAACTTAAATATTCTCTTTATCTATCTCTTACGGATTGGTCGCTGAAACAGCACCACAGACAGACAGACGGACGGACGGACTTGTCTAATAGATAAGAGATAATAAAAACTTAAATAACAACAGAAAGCCAATTACAGGTCTTACCAATAAAGACACACTAAAACATAATTAGGCACACTTTTAACATAATAATGACAAAAAAATAAGCATTGTACAATTGCCTATTCGTCAAAAAATGCACTGTTCAATACCCGCCTCAGTGATGGAACGCTAGTATAAAACAAATCAATACCAGTTTTCTCAGATACAACATTAAAACTATTACCTGCACGCAGAAGATATGAATTCTGTCTAAAGTTTGAGGTCGTCTGTGGAACGCATATGACGGGATTAAATCTCAATTGTTTTTTTGTAGCCCTAAGGGAAATCCTAGACAGTAGTGCCGGGCGGTCGATAGCACCGGAAGCTATTTTTAACAAAAATACTAAATCTGCAATTCGGCGGCGTTTTTGCAGTGTTAACAACAAAAATGTAAATATTGGTTTGAATCGTATTGCTCTTTGGTGCCCTTTTTATTTTGATAACTCGCGATATCGGAAGCTCGGCGTCGGACGCTCGGTCGCGGTCGTGGTGTTGTGCTAACTCGCGGTTGTTGCGCGCAGTCGATATGGTGGAGTTTATCACCGAGGGGCGCGAGTGCGTGAACTGCGGCACCGTGCAGACGCCGCTGTGGAGGCGCGACTGCACCGGCCACTACCTGTGCAACGCGTGCGGCCTCTACAACAAGATGAACGGCATGAACCGGCCGCTGAAGCAGCCGCGGCGGCTGGTACGTCAGCGGCACGCGGCGCTCGCTCCGGCCGCGCCCGCTACCGACGTACGCATCTCCTCGCCCCGCACTATCCGCACCGCCCCGCACAGTATCCGCGCCCGCCGAGCGTCCGTCGCCCGCCGCGAGCGAGTCTCAGTTCTCCCGTGTTGTTGCAGTGGCGGCCGAGGGAGCCCCGCCGGGCGCGGATTACTACAAGGGTTTCCTGTTAAACGGGCTCGCGCCGCACGCGCATGCCCACGCGCACGCGCACGCCTTGACCGCGCCCTCGCCGCTCGGCGCCGCGTCGCACGCCGCCTCCACTCCTCCTGACTACAAACAGAAGAAAGGGGTACGACGCGCCCCGACCTCCCTCCCCCCCCCCCCCCCCTCCACCTCCCGCGCCCTAACCGTCCCTACCACCCGCTCCCTGCCCGTGCGCACTAACCACACTCATCGCTTCTTCCTCGTAGACCTAAGTTCCGTTTCGAACTAACAGCATGCTAGCTTATCGTTCGAAAGAAAATATAACTAGAAAAAAATTTCGCACCCTTCGCAATCCGGGCGAATGCACCGACCGATTATGCTACCGCGGCCCTCGCGCCCGGATTGCGAAGGGTGCGGGTGCGGGACTCGATCCCGTCTGCTGCCTGGTTCGCGTGGATTTTTTTCTAGTTACATTTTCTTTGGATTTAAACATCAAACAGTTATACATGCTTTAAAATAGTAAAAAATATAATTATCATTCTAATGTAAAAATTTCGAGTCATTAGTCGCTTTGATATTGCTTTTTAAGAACATTTCTTTGAGTCATACGTAGGGGGCTCGATGGAGCGTATGCTATAACCCTGTTTGTGCGGTGTGCAGGCGGGCACGAAGCGGCCGGGCACGACGTGCACGAACTGCCGCACGATGACCACGTCGCTGTGGCGCCGCAACGCGCACGGCGAGACCGTCTGCAACGCGTGCGGACTCTACTACAAGCTGCACAACGTCAACAGGCCACTCGCCATGAAGAAAGATGCTATACAGGTATGACGGACCCCACAAATCTGTAGGTGTTTAATAAAAATATACCAAATCGTTATGACTAATAGCTCCTCCATTAGTGCTGGTCATCTACCGCAGGATTTCATGAGTACATAAGGTTTTCGCGATCTAGGAAAGAAAGCCCAGATGGACTCGAGATGAAATGAAATTATACTTTATTCAAATTCACTTATTAAAGCCCTTTTGAATCGTTCAATAATTTTTCCTATCACCCATTCAGGACATCTTTTAGCTGATGAAAAGAATGAGCGCAAAAAACTCATCAGCACTTAACAGAAGTAGCAACATTTACAAAATATCATGTCGCTACCAATATAACGTCCACTATGTTTTGATTGCTGTGTAAAATACAGATAGAGTAATGAGATATCCTCTCCCTCATAGAAGACCGCTATCGAATAAAATTATCTCAGTGTGTGTTGCAAAAATTCTGCGGGAAGGAAACTGATGGATATGCTGAATAGATCGCATTAAACATTCGAAGATTAGCAAACTTGTTGGTCGTATTTTAGATCCACATGATTATATAGTTTTGTGCCGATGGAGGCTAGAGAGCTTTTTAAACTTTATTTTTTTTTACTTTCCAGACAAGAAAGCGAAAACCAAAGAACGGCATGAAGTCGGAGCGGAACATCAAGACTGCGGTCCAGCGGACGCTCGCGTCCGGCGTCAAAATGGAGAATTTGTGTGAGTTATTTGCTTAATCTAGATGGTTCTACATGTTGGACAAGCTTTGATCGAACTTGCTGTGAGTTCAAAGGTTAGCTTTTTATGAATTCAATCGAAAATATTCTCAAGTCCAATGCTTTTGCCTCTCGATTATACTGATGGAATAAGCCAAAGGCGTTGGTTTATCAAATTAATCAGGTGAACTAAATTCGACGGAAAAAAAACTTCTCCTAGACGAGGATTGAACAATATCAGAGGAGGACTCTTCCATAACTTATGCGAATTTATAGTCAACCGACGAGGTTATTTCAATTGATGAGCAATAACATTTATCGGATTGCATATCGGTCGCTTAAAAGTTGATCGTTCTATTTTAAGAGTTTACTTCGACTATGTGGTTACAAAGGATATACCAGGGCTTGTAACCGGTTTAGAAAATACCGGTAAATAAAGGTTAATACCGGTTTAGTAAAGGTTTCGTTCGGAGCGCGACCGAAATGAAAGCGGTACCTAAAACCTTAAAAAACCGGTTTAATCCAGAGCGACACGTGCACGCGTCGGCATCGCTTGAAGTTTGTTTTGTTAATGCTCAGAGATTGATGCATTTATTGACACGTTTGCTAGCGTCTAGTGAGTCAAGTTATTCATTTTGTAGTTGTGTACTGACACACTATTTAACTCACTCGCTCTGTAGCTGGAAAGAAACTGACATAAAATCATTATAAATATGAATCAAAACGGCGAAGGCGATGCCGTCAGTGAGAGCGAAACGAAGACCGCTAAATTGATTCAAAACCTATTTGATTTTGCTTTTTAGGTAAACCGGTTTTTTTAAGGTTAAGGTAGAGCCAGACCTAAATAAAACGCTCCTAATGTACTCGATACTGATTTAGGTTTGAAAATTAACCGGTAAACAAGCCCTGGGATCAGCGTTGCCAGGTCTCCAGATTTTACAGGATATCTCCTGGTTTTCTGAAATTTCTCCTGTTCTACTGTTTTTGTACATGAATCTCCTGTTTTTCTTAAAATACGATTTTCTTTTTTAAATTGCATGTTGAGTTACATTTTCGGCCATAAATAATGTAGGTAACTTTATTAATTTTAAAATAAATGCTATTGCCTAAAAAAACACTAGCTTTATGGGGGGACAGAAGCCACAGAAACACAGTCGTCATTGGTCTTAAGTTTATCTTCATTCGATTTACCAATTCTAGGGGCGGTGCAAATCGGTAGAAGTACGCCTCTGCATCTACCGTTTTTCTTGTAGGTCTTTCCATACATCTACTGTTTTTTTCTATAACGCCTCCCGATTTTTTAAAATCGGACCTGGCAACACCGCCTGGGATATACACAAAACTGCCACTGAACACGAACCCTGCTAGGGCATCGCAACGTCTAAAGACAGCTGACAGTTTGACAGTGCCATATCGTTTCGCAGTGGAGAGCAGCGGAGTAGGCGTCGGTGTAGGGTCGGGTATGGGCGTCGGCACCGCGCGCCCCCCGCTGGGGTACTACGGCGGCATGAAGCTGGAGGACGGCGCCGCGCTATACGACGCGCCCGACTACCGCCGCGCCACCAACGCGACCCACGCGACCCACGCGACCCACGCGACCCACGCGACCCACGCGCCCGGGCCCGACATCGGCGAGCGCCCCACCGTCGTGTCCATGGGCAGCTGAGCTGGTGGCGCCGCCTCGCGCCAGGAAACAGGAATCTCGACCCGAGTTCGGCGAGCGCGCGTCCCGACCTAGCTCGTCGCCCGAACGCTCTCGTTATACCGTTAAAGTGCCGACGACAATTTTATATAGACTTATGAAATACGATGTTGATATTTTTAGATTTTAACCGACTCCATGACTTGAAGAGGCATTCCACGAATTCGTATGTTATTGTAGATGAGTAGTATGTGAGTTTAGTTTCGTGAAGTCGGTCGCTCGGGCCGTTCGGAACCGATTCGAGCCCGACTGAGCGAACTTGATTGTTGAACAGATCGATTTATATTTTGAACCTGTAAATAGTGATGGATCCTCGCTTCGTCGGCGACGAGTATCGTTCACCCCGCACTGTCCGTGTCGAACTGTTGAACTTGTTTCATGATACATAAACCATCTCGTTAGGCTTAAGTTAAGAATCTCCGATGCGATTCGACAGTCACACGAAACGTCTCGTTTATGATGTCGAATTCGGCGAAAGCGCGCGTCATCCCGCCGTTACCTCGTCGAATTGGACGATTGCGAATACCTAAGATTTTTTTTTTAGTTTTTAAGAATGTAAACGACGAGTCTTGTGGATGTCGAATTCGGTTTTAGTTTAGTTTAGTTTATAATGATTATGATATCGGAGGCTCGGTTGACGTAACGCGGGCCGAGCGATCTCTCTGTGCAACAATATCTAAGATTATTTTAGTGTGACACCCGCTATGATGTGATGTTATATTTTATTTATGTTATCGAGAAGAGACGTTGTCACCGTTAGTCATAGTTACAGTTCTTTGTAAATATAAAGAGTATACATTTAATAAATGATTATGAATTTGAGAATTTGATTTCTTTACGTCTCCATTGCCAGATTTTTCAGTTGTATGGAATGAAGAGAGAAGCTTTGTTTCTTCTACTTCCAAATTCTTTAAGATTTAATTCTTGATCTAAACTAATCTAAATGAATAACAGATAATCGTCAGTGTATCTAAACCGAAAACAACTTATTTTTAACCACTTCTAATGTAGTATATCAAAAGTGAGATACAACAATATCAAGGTTAAATTTAAAATTTAATACTTTTACCGATTCTTTTTTCCTAATTATTATTTTAGTACCGTATTCAATAAATTTTGCTCCTACTAGCTAACATTATTTGCCTTAAAAAATATGTCGTTTTAATATTTACTCTGAATCAGTTTAATCCGACTTGCCGATGACAATAACAACAATGAGATGTCATTTTTTGTAGATATGCCGTGACGTCCTGTCATTCGTCTCCGTCGGTTATCGAGCCGAAAGAACGGCTCTCTAACTTGTCAATTTTGTGTTAGCTTTTCAACCAAGTATTTTTGGGTTATTTTTATGCGTAGTGTACACATAATATAATAAGGGCTCGCTGAAAAATGCTGAAAAGATCTGAAACATTTATATTTATGGATATATTTATAAGAAGAACGCACTGCGCTAAGTGTTATTAGAATTAAAAAAAAAACCGACTTCTAAATCGAAAATGGAACGAAAAAGTAAAAAATTATATCTGGTCAAGGTCAAGGGTCAAGATTGAAACATTAAATAGATTTTCGTTTTTGTTCTGTATTCATACGTCTTTCAATCCAGATACCGCTATATTTTTTTTACTTTTTATTTCCATTTTCGATTTTGAAGTCGGTTTTATTTTTTGTTTAAACATTTTTTATTTCATCCCTTTTAGTGAAAACTATATCGTCCAAGTAAACAGTAACACAATCGACGGAGAAATCGGTGAATATGCATAAAAAAAAATCGTGCATGCTTTTGAAATTTGAAGGTTTCCCTCGATTTCCCCGGATTCCACCATCAGATCCTGACTTGTTTCCAATGGGACTGGAAAAAAAGAATTTTGGAAATCGGTCCACAATTGATGGAGAAGTCGGTAAACATACATAAAAAAGATATAAATACAGTCGAACACAGAACCTCCTCCTTTTTTAAAGTCGGTTAAAAAATAGCTAGGTCTATCTACGCAATATAAGATACTTTATTATAATATCGCGCAAATAATGGGAAAAATTACGTCTGTTGCATGGGAGCCCCCTTGAATGATTATTTTATTTTAAATTTATTATTTACTTTTAAAGTGAATAAACAATTAAATATTCTGTGAATATTCACGCGTCTACATGTTACCGTTATTAACATAGATCTATACTTTTTATTTTTTTGTGTGATTGTTGCATATAAAAATATGTTTACTGTATGGGAGCTCCCTTAAATACTTATTTTATTGTGGTTTAGTATTAGTTATTATAGCAGCAACAGAAAAAAATCATCTATGAAAATTTCAACTGTATAGCTATCAAGGTTCATGAGATACAGCTTGGTGACTGACAGACAGACAATCGGGTCCCATTTTTACATTACTGCCCAAAAATAAGAGTGTAGTACGCTATGGGTACGGAACCCTAACGATATACAAATACTTGGTTGACTTTATGTTGAGAGTCGATTTCGTTAAAGAATAAGAATAGGGGTGATGACGGGGTACAGTAAACGAAATTCTATTTAGTCCGTCAGTTAGATGATCAAAAAATAATGGACACGTATTTTTTCTTTGGACAATCAACCAAAAAATGACAAAGTTATAGCGCGTCAAAGTTTGGGAGTGGGGGCTCGTGACGTCACTTTTGAGTGAATTTTCACTTATAAGTGTACTCAAACGTGACGTCATGCGACTGTTCAAATCAATATATCACTGCAATGTTTATATTATGTGAAAAAAGAAAAAATACGTGTCCAATACTTTTTGATAATCTACCTGATAAACGAAGAAAAAAAATTTGTCATCATCCCTATTATGTTTAAGCACAAAAAATATCACTTGTACACATGTAAGGAGTATATAAAACATGTATTTATTTAAAAAATATTTTATAATTGTAATCATTGAAGGTAGGTACGTGTCCACCGTCACGATCCGAGTCGGATTTTTAATAATAATTACAAGAAATTCAAGGTGTTCATCGTCAACATCGGATGTTTCCCCCTGCTACGTGCAAGAATTTAATGTTGTTTTTTCAACATTTTAGTCTTTTAGGAATTTTGCACTATCTACATACACTTCAAATGCCGTAACAATTTTAATTTTTGGCGTCCAATTCATTTTGATAGGAAGTCAGGAAATTCATACGGCGAAAGAAGTATTGTAGGAATCGGAGCTGGAAAAATGGTGACACTTTAAAGGAAAAGAAAATCATAGAAGAAGCCATACTTGCATTGCAAAAGTTCATTTTTTTTTTTTGAGTGTGTATGCTGGTGGTCCCAGATGACCTTTACAGCGTCACCGGGTTTGGGGACGGCGAGATCCTAAGGGGACCTCAGCGCGTCAAGAGGTATTCCAGGCGGATGGCATTTCCCCTCGGGGGGAGTCTCCTCTCCGTCTGGAGCCTCTAGACCACTCGAACCTCAAGTAGAGGGCGGCAAGTCTGGACTCGGACCTCGGCTCTAGTTAGCCGTTGTCGTGGGGGGCGGGGAAAAACGCCCAGGTACGTACCTGTACCTGGCATAGCGTGTCGTGTGTAGACCGGGTCTTCGCACTCTTATCCTACGGGTACGGTGTCAGCCTAATGCTAAGCTAGTGTGCACGTTTGCTAGCTGTGTAGTGTTGGTGTTTGTGACCTGTGTGAGAGGAGTCGGAGGCACGTTGGCGCGGGTGATTTCGTCGTCAGAGGGATGTGTTCATCGCTTACCTATGGTTATAATTTAGGTTAATTTTTCACTGCTGGGGCACGGGCCTAAAATGCGAATGGGATAGGGAGATTGATATATAACCCACCACGAGGAACCAGTGCGAATTGGTGGGTACTAACGACTGCAGACGCACCCGGGATCAGCGGCTCAACGTGCCTCCAAGCATGGTCATCCATAATACCATTTTTTTGTCAATCATCCAATGACCGGTCTCTTCCACAATCGCAGACAGAAGGTGCTAACCACTTGCGTCATCGTGCTCCTCAGAGCGCAATCATTGTTCGCTAACGTTTTTCTTAAATACTGAATTTTATCATCTTATTCATCTTATCTCCGAGCATAGCCCTTTCCATAGCTCTCTGAGCGACTTTAAACTGGTGGACCAGTCCAGCCGTGAGTGTCCACGTCTCGGCGCCGTATGTCATAACTGGGAGGACGCACTGGTCGAAGACTTTCGACTTAAGACATTGAGGGATGGGTGACGAGAAGTGGCAGTGGGCTGGTCACATTAGCCGCAGAACTGACGGCCGATGGAGCCGTAAAGTTCTTGAGTGGAGACCGCGACTCGGTAAACGTAGTGTGGGACGATCTGAGACAAGATGGGATGATGACATTCGTAGGCTGGCTGGAGTGAGCTGGATGAGAGTGGCAGAAAATCGGGAGCAGTGGCGTGCATTAGGAGAGACCTATGTCCAGCAGTGGACGAACATGGGCCGATGATGATGATGATTCATCTTATCTGTTTAAAGACATTTCCAGCTCAAAAGCGTTTCGTATTCCTGAAAAAAAATTATTAGTCAACAATATCTTTCAGCATGGATTATGAATATCTAAAAGGTTTGTGTAAATATAGAATAAAATGAAGCGTTTGTAAGCCATATAGGTAACAAAGGTATAAACAATTCAAAATCGACTTTATTTTATCTCTTAGATATAAACTATATAGGTAGGTAGGTAGGTACTACATGTCGAATGTACAATTTAAAGTCATGTTCGGCTATTTGATAAAATGAAATCTAGGAGTTTCGGTCAAGTGCGAGGCGGACTTGCAAGTAATGTTCAGTAGCAGCATACAAGGCCAAGCGATTCTTGAGTTCGACCAAAAAACGCCAAAAAGCATGCTACCTGTTTGATTCATTTATAACATTTTTAAAGGGTTAGCGTACGTAAAAGTGGTGGGATCTGAATTACTTTTAGTAATTTTGTACACTATAGCAAGTAGGACGCGGTGAAATATTAAAAAAAAAACTGG